CTTCATGTATTCCTCCCTCCTCAGAGCCTCTCCCAGGGGAAAAGAAAAGGTCAAATTATGCAAATCATGAATGGCAGGGTTGGTGCAATATTTACAGGATAAAAAACTTCCAAAAAGATTAATAACTTAAGATCTAGAATAATTACTGTTGCATATACCATTGGCTTCAGTGTCAGAGCCAACCAGTTCTCGGGGTTGAGGAGGCTGGAGAGCAAACAGAAGAATGAAGCTTTTGAAAATACACAGGCTAAAAAAATCAGACGCAACATAAGATGAAGAAACAGCAGTTCTCCTGCTGGTGGATTAAAATGAGTGGGTATGGCCCAAAGCAGCAAGCAGACAGCTGATGTGAGATGAAGGGATGAGAATGGAAACTTTTAACAGATGTAGGAAAAAGCATTTCTCCTTAGTGACTGTTGATAATATGTACTAGTCCACACTGAATCCTGCTTGGGATAAAGTGCCAGATTTTTCAAGGAAAGATACCCTGCAATGGAAAAGGAGAGCGCTTGTGGCTTGAACCCTGTTTTTCTGTTCGATGTCCCCCTGCGTCAGCAGGGAGTGAGTAGATGCTGGCTGACTCGCCTCTGGGGGATTGTTTTTGGGAGACTGAGCTGCAGCAGGAGCTATAATAAGCCAGCTGCACAGACATGCTCACTGAGCACAGCCTGCATTCATCCGAGCAGCTAAATTTAGGTCTCTTCCAGCAAAAGAGCATGCTCAAAGAGGCACAGGGATGAGCTATAACTCTCATATGAGCTGGAAAAAAGAACCTGAGAGGGTTGATTTATCCATTATAATACTGCACTTTTGGCATCAGAGGAGACCAAAGTCCCTGAGGATAAACCCAGTGAAGACAAGATATGTATTATTGCAAGGTTGATTTCCCTCTGGCAGCCTCATGAACTTGTCCAAGGCTGACCCTGGCAGTGTCACACTGGGGTAAAACTAAAGTCCCTTTGCCTGAAATGTTTTCACTTGAAAGCAGTGCCATTTATTGCGGCAAAAATAATAATCTTTATGAAAATAATCATTCTTGCAGAAATCATGGCTGTTTGTGATGAAAAGTTCTTAGAATGCTGCTGAAGACCTGAAGAGGCGCTGAGGGAGCAAAAGGAGACACAATTCAGGTAAGAAATCCCCACAAACAATATCAGGAGAGGAGCAGAACTTCTCTGGTTGCTGCTGGTGTGCTCCACGCTGTCGTCCCCCTCGCTCCCCCCTTGGGTATGCCCTTTTAGACCACAGCATAAACATCAGAGGCTGGCTGTGCTGGGCTGCAGTCAGAGAGACCCTCTGTTCCCAGAGGTTTTTACAGGCGATGCCAGGGAGCGCGGAAGCCATCTGAGCCTGCCAGGCCGCCTTTACTTGTACCACTGCTGTGTCCCCCAAAGGTGCGTTTGTTAAATGTGCGTGAGGCTCCCCAGGGAACCTCTCCAAGCTCCGGGTAATAATCAACCGTTTACGGAAGGGGAGAGGAGGGGAGCAGGGTTGGATTGGCTTCCCATCAGGCGCAAGAAAAAGCTGCATTGAGTCCCACCCAGTTCCAGGGCGGGGACTTTTCCAGAGTAAGCGGAGCAAAGCTCTCCCCATCTCTGCCAAGGCACCCGCTTGGGACAGCAGGTGAGTGTCAAACTGACTAGGGGGTCCCCTTTGGCATGGGGAAGGGGTGGCACGGCTAGAGGTGCTTGGGAAGGTGCCAAGCACCACCCCTGCTTGCCAGACAGCCGCGGCTGGCAGTGTGGCTGTGCCAGAGCAGGACAGCCCTTGGCTGGGTGGATGCCTTGTTGGGGCCATGATGCCAAGTTATTAGGGCAGCCCTGGAGGGCACAGGCCTGGGGTCAGGAAGGACGGGGTGGCGGGTTGTGGGAAGGAGGAAGATGGCTGACTCTTTCCAGGCACAGGGAGTACAGGTTTTGCTTCCTATTTCTGCCGAGGCCAAGCTGGGATGTCCTCCCCGCTGGATGCCGGAGTGTGGAGGCTTGTGAAGTGGCTTTGGGTGCGTGCACAGGCTGAAGTGAGGAGTATGGGGCTCTGCTAACTCACTACTATATTTTTATTCCTTTTGAGGGCAGTGGCCAGGCAAAGGTCATCGTGTGGGAGGTGCTGGGGTATTTCAGCTGGCTCAGGGCTGGCCAGCAGAAGGGAGATCCTGTCCTGAGCTGCAAATCGGGCTGGGATCAGGGTCAGTCACCCAGCTATGAGCCTCAGACCTACACTGGGGCACCCTGCCTCCCTGAAGCCCAGCCAGCTGTGGAAGGAGCAGGCTGTATCCAGCACAGTGGAAACAGCTGGCAGCAGCAGAGCCATGGAAAAGCTGATCTGGCACAGGGTGTGGATTTGTGTTCAAGGAAACGTGCACCAAATGAAAGAACTAGTCAAACAAGTCCAGTGTGTGCATTGCAAGGGGATGGGTCGTAAAATGGTGGTTTTCCACTCCAGATTATAAGTGAAGGACTGGCAATGTGTCACTGAGCTCAGACTTGGGGGGAAAAAACCCCTGTGTTTGCATCCTGTTAAGCTGTTGGGAGCTTTGCTTGCTGGGAGCTGGGTGTGCTCTGTGTACAGTCAGGGAAACTTGATTCAGAGCAAGCCCAGATTTGAACTGGCCAGCACACACGATAGTTTCGGCTGTTTTCTGGTAAATGAAGTTTATTCTGGATTCAGCTTTTAGAGGACATTGATGTGGCCTGATTAGCTGATAAAGCCTGCCAGGAAAAGGTCATCCATGGAAAAAATTTGAATAATGGGAGGGATGCCTTGTACACCTACACTCTGTCATCTGGCCACAGCGTTTTGAACCTGTTCTAAGACAGATTTAACGTGCCAGCAAGCTCAGGTCTTTATTCTCGGATGAAGGAAATAACATCAGGACAGGGATTAGCCAGGGCAGTTTAGCACTTGCTAGCTGACTTTTTGCATACGTAGTTTAATTCTTCAAAACAAGGAGGTAAGTGTTGCTCCTATCCTCAAGCTGGTTTTCCCCTTTTGAGCTGCAGGCCAGGAATTGTGTTAAGTTGCAGAGCACGGGCAAATCTGACCGAACTATCACTTTCTCTTTGTAGTAGCAAAATAAGTGGCCAGGAGAGTTTTATTCATTTAATGCTCCAACCTGAGCAGTTTGTGGAGACACGGTGAAAGGGAGCAAGAAGGTTACGGGGGCAGGGACCATTGCTGAAGAACCTGGTTGAACTGCCGAGCACTTCCACCTGTAACTTCAGTGGCTCATTTCTTGTGGCACTACACAGAAAAATATACTGAGAACAAAATAGCATTTGAAGTCTTTTCCAACCTTAATGATTCTATGCTGATTGTGCAGTGAGATTAGCACTGCTGCCTTTTGCAGTGCTCTAATTTTTATATTCCCAGTGATGTTTAAACTGGATGGAGAAATCGGAATCTTGCAGTCAATATTCAGTGTGACATTTCTTTTGTAATTTGATGTTGCAGGAGCATTTGTCCTGAATCCAGTACGTGCATCCTTTCCTCATGTTGTGATTTCTCTCTGCCAGCTCATTTCCACTCAATTTTTTTCTGCCTCTCACCTCCTTTTTCTTGTTTATTGACCTTTCTTTTGCCCTGTAATCAATTTACCAAACCAGCTTAATATTCCCACTTCTGTGTACAAACCAACTGAATGGTAAAACTCTATCAGAAAAACATCCGTGAAATTTGAAACCATTATTTGATGTCTGGCTGAAGTGAATAAAGTTGACTTTATATTTCTGTAAAATATTAGAGAAGAGCAAAGATTATTTTCTGTGCTCTAGGTTATCATTTGACCACTGAAATCTATAATCAAATGCAAGAAAGCAAAGTCAACACTAATAATTTTCCATTTGTTGCCCTGTTGCACAGGGTGTAATAATGTACAAATGACCTGGAGAGGACTCAGGAGTGCCTGTGCCAAACACATCTGTGGCCCACGTCACAGTGAGAGTTAACTTGCATGAACAGCACCCGCTGATGGTATTCCAGATTTGTAAGAGTCATGTGAAGCATGAGCAAAGACACTCCTGTTCTTGCACAACTGTCTGGGCTCACTGATAGCAGCTATTAAGCACCATGAGCAGGATTAAGGAGAGATGTTGTCAGCCACTGGCACCACTGCTGCTACTTAAGGGCTTTAATGTGAGAACCTCAGCTCATGCTGTGTTCAACTTGAGTTGCAGGGAAGTGAACCTTGTCCTAGTACTTGACATCCTGTCAACCAACCAGGGATATGGGAAAATACTTTGGGTGTGTCCACGTATAGGCCCTATGGATGAAAATTAAATTATGAGCAGAAAAAATAACCCTGGGGAGATGGAAATTGAGCTTTTTTTTTTTTTTTGAGGGCTTTAACAGTCAGTTAAAACCACAGCCCTGCAAGGAGCTACACACTGCACCAAACTGAATATAGCAGCTTTTAAGTAGGAGGGAGAATAATTCTCCTGTCCCAGTCCTCCAGTGAGGTTATCCTTTGCATGCTCATCTATACCCTGATGTTGTCTCTGTCTCCCAGGGACAATCTGTGAAGGCTGTTTGGACTATGCAGGCACCCTCACCCTCATTCACCCTCAGGCTCTCACCTGGAAAGGTCAAAGCCAAGTGCTTGGAAGGGCTTGGGAATCAAGTCTATTTTCCTTGCTGCCAGGGCAACATTGTCTCCTTTTCCTTGTAGCCTCAGCCAGGCTGTCACACTTGCAATAGAAAAGAAATTTCTTCAATTAGTAGTGCTAATCATCTGCTTGTGCACCACATCCCTCTTCAGACAGGCCTTGCCTGTTGCAAGGCAGCCTTTGTTTCCTGGGTACAAATCAGAACTGGAAACTCAGAGATGCTGCTATGGGTGTTCAGTAGGATTGTTCAAGTGTTGCTGTTAGTCCTCAGAGAAATTAGATGGCTACTTAACCAGCTCCATTAATTGGCAAAGGTAGGTATATTCTATTAATTATTTGCTAGAAAACTAACACTTCCTCTGGTTTTTATTACAGTTGTCTAACTGCCCGAGGACTCAGACAAGAACAGATTGATCAAATACGAGGGTGATGGTGAGTGTGCATGTTTTCTGTACCATGCTGTGCCAAGCATATGTTCTGATCAGATAAATGTGGGGAGTGGAGCTGAGATAAGGACACAGCAGGAAGAACACTCTCACTGTCTGTCCCTTTATGGAGGGTGAGTTCATTGCTTCTCTCTGCTTCCTCGTGATAGAGGAGAATGATCCACGTATATGGGCTTTTACATTTTGGGAGTTAATGGAAAATCTAATCAGATATTAGTTTAAAGAGCATTAATTTCTCCAGATAAACTTCCTGGGCAGATTATTCTTGCCAGGTTCAACCTGCCAGGTAGCCACCTATATGGTAGTTATCCCTGTGCCTGTTTCAGAAAGCTTAGCCTACACCAATGTTAAGCAGTGTTTTGCTGGGAACAGGGAGGGCTTTGTAAGAGCCAGTGTAGTCCCACAGAAATGGCACAGGACAGGAGGCAGGAGAAACCTGTTTGTGAATCACTCTTTTGAGTAAAACTCTGTGCTTCCTGGTGCATTATTTAACAGAACGCTGGTCCTTGGCTGCTTTTAGAGAAGTCAGGAATAGGGCTTTGATGGGAACAGCTGCTTCTGGAAAACTGCTGGGAAGAAGCCCTGGCTGAACTAAACAGAGATGTCGGGCTGCTTGCCATTATGTAACTGGAAACCAGATACTTTGTGGGCAGCTATATGAAGATATTTTCTCCTTTTAGTTGTGTCCCTGTGGCTTATTTCTGATGTGGCTGGGAAGTCCCTATAGAACAAATGGTTTCTCTTTAGGGTGAGATGGAAGCCTGGTATAACCAGGTTGGTGGGTGGACTTTACTTGCTGTCACTGTGCTTGCATCTTTTGAATTAATTTTTTTTTTAAATTCATCTCTACCGTATGTTTGGATTACTTTGAGTCTGCCTTTCATAACTCCTCTCCTGTGGGTTTAGGCAACAATCAAGGGGGTCTCAAGTTTCAGTGCTGAGCAAGAAGCACAGGCACTAAGGAAGGCCATGAAGGGGTTTGGTAAGTTGGTCTCCCTCCACTGTTAAACCCTATCTTTTTTTCCCCAGAGCATTGGAAATGTTTTGTCTGGTAGTTTGTTAGAGGGGAAAGTCTAGACATTTGCATTGCCCCGCTGCCCCGTGAGGGCACAGAAAAGAATTGAACAACTTGATCAGGCTGGGACTTGAACCCAACTGGAAATCCAAGTCTTGGCCACAAAAACATCCTTAGTCAGGCTCTTGTCTCTCCTGCAGTGTGGTACTACCATGCTGCTGTCTTGGTTGAGGCACTTCTGTACACTGATCTAGTCCCCAATCCTGTTGAGACCCAGGTTGTATAAGGAACAGAAAATGGCTAATGGCACACTGGGCAAGACCAGAGCATGCGCCTGGTTCTTGTGCAGGCAGCTTGACTGGTTTCTTTTGGTTTCTTCCAGGCACAGATGAAGATGCCATCATTGAGATCTTGACCAAACTAAATGTTTCCCAACGTCAGCAAGTTCTGATCACCTATAAAAGCAGTATTGGCAGGGTAGGTGGTCTTCAGAGATTAGTGACTGTGGCTTTAACAGGGAGATGCAGACAATTCTTGAGTTGTATCACTTGGGTAAAATGTGAATAACATCCTAGTCTCCACAACAGCAAGGTTAGCACAAGCTTTCCATGGACAAGTTTATTTTGGTCCTGTTCAATTCAGAGCAGCTCTTCATCCAACGAGGCTTGGGTCATGAAGGAAAGCAGTGAATGAGTTCTTTCTGTTCTCAAAGACTGTACCTTCTCCCAACTCCTTTCTCCCCTCTCCACCTTCTAGGATTTGATTGATGACTTGAAGTCTGAGCTGAGTGGGAATTTTGAAAGGGTGATTATTGGTATGATGACTCCTACCACCATGTATGACGTGCATGAACTGAAGAGGGCTATGAAGGTTTGGAAATTTTCCTTTTATGTTGTTTAAGTTCCGGTCAATTTAGTGTGATATGGCATAATTTATTATTAATTTTTTATTATTAACTTTTATATACCTTAAAACATCAAAACACTTGTTGTTATAATCTTGGATCTTGTCTTTGCAATTGCCTAGGGTGCAGGAACAGATGAAGGTTGCCTGATTGAAATTCTGGCTTCTCGCACAAATGCAGAGATTCGGCGCATTAATGAGAACTACAAACTTCGTATGTAGTGGGAGTGGCAAACCATTACCATACTGACTGAAAAGTCACTTGTGTGTGTGGATGGACATGTGAAGAGGAAGGAGCAGGGTGTGTTAGCCATTAAATATGACAAATCAGCCAATACACCTCAAGTGCTGTGTTCAGTTTTGGGCCCCTCACTACAAGAAAGACATTGAGATGCTGGAGTGTGTCCAGAGAAGGGCAGCGGAGCTGGGGAAAGGTGTGGAGCACAAGTGTGCTGAGTTCACAGCTGAGGGAACTGGGGTTGTTGAGCCTGGAGAAAAGGAGGCTGAGGGGAGACCTTGTGGCTCTGTGCAAGTCCCTTGGAGGAGGGTGGAGAGAGGTGGGGGTGGGTCTGTTCAACCAAGGACCAAGTGACAGGACAAGACGAAATGGCCTCAGGTTGTGCCCAGGGGGGGTTTAGATTGGATGTGAGGAAAAATTCCTTCACCAAAATGGTTGTCAAGCATTGGAACAGGCTGCCCCAGGGAGGTGGTGGAGTCACCGTCCCTGCAGGTGTTTAAAAGCTGTGTAGATGCAGTGCTTAGGGACATGGGTTTAGTGGTGGACTCAGCAGTGTTAACGGTTGGACTCAATGATCTTAAAGGTCCTTTCCAACCTAAATTACTCTATGATGTTTAGAGCCCTGAGCAGTTATATACTTACCTAGCTTATGGCTGGCAAATGTTTTGGACAAACAGTGTCCAGGTGGTGGACCCGTTACTAACAGATGTCATATATGTGTGTGCTTTTGCTAGAATATGGCTGTACCCTTGAGGAGGACATTATCTCTGACACATCTTCCATGTTTCGAAGAGTCCTTGTATCCCTTGCGACAGTAAGTCCAGACTAAGTGAAATGGGGGTGAATCTTTTTCTTGCTGATGGACACGCCTCTCACTTCAGTGATGATGTGTTTCAGGCTGGTTTCTATGTCACTTATCTCGCATTTCACCTCACCTGCGTGTCACACCCAGCTTCTGCAGGGAGAGGAGCCTGACTCTGGGTAGGCATTAATGCCATGTGCTCTTTGTAAAATAGCCCAGTTAAAGTGGATTGCTGCTCTTCCCAAAAGGAAGTAAAAATCACATCTGAGCCATATTTTGCTGTATTTGTAAGCTACTACTCAATTTGAAGGATCCCATTATGCCTCTCCAGTAACTTGTTTTGAATGAAGAATTGGCAGGACTTGCTTCCGTTGGTTGCTCTGGTGAAATGAGTTTTACATCCTTGTGTCTCTACAGGGAAACAGAGATGAGGGAACATATGTGGATGATGCCCTTGCTCAACAAGATGCTCAGGTGTGTAGCAATTTGCTTGCTTGCAAGAATTGTCTGTACCTGTACATATGATGTGTGGTGAATCCCTGCTTTTTCTAGATTTTTTTTTTTTTGAGGTAGAACAGTAAGCCTGAAGCTGTGCTACACAGCAGCACCCTAGGTGGAGATCTAGGCTCTATTCTGTTTTGACCCTTAGAGACACTTCTTCACTGTTCTGACTCAGCTGGTGAAATGGGGATGATGATTCTAGTCTCCTTTGCAACTCTCTGGTGAGAGGTCTCTAGACAGGATGGGTATGTAGGAGGGCAGATGACATTTCAGTTGAGAGCTGCTGTGCTTGGTTAGTATTTGTTGGGAAATATCTGTGATCTAGACAAGCAGAGCTCAAGCACCAAGGAATCTCATGTTATGTACACCTGGTTTTCTCACTTAGCCTTACTTTGTCTATTCATAATGTCTTCAAGTGCCTGTACGAAGCTGGGGAGAAGAGATGGGGAACAGATGAGGTACAATTTATGGCCATCCTCTGTACACGGAACAGATACCACCTACTAAGAGGTAAGACCCTCTGCGGTGTCCTGGATTTCTTTTTCCTTGTTTGAGGATGATACTTTTGTAGGAGCTTTGTAGTTGTTCATTAACTGATTGTGAACTCTTCCTGAGACAGCAGGTAGCCTAGAGCCCAGTTGCATTCAGTTTTTTAAGACCATTTTATTCCCTCCTGAGACAAAAAGGGACTTGAGAAAAACATCAGTACAACTCGCTCCAGCCTGTAAATTGGAGATAATGAAGAGTGACTCCCATTGGGGCATAGAGGGAAAGAAGCTAAGCATTTAAACTGCCATCATTAACCAGCAGTTCTTGCAAATGCTAGCAGCAGTGGTAGGCCAATTAGCAAGGCAGTTGATAATTAAAATGAATTATTTCTGTGGGACAGCCCTGATTTAGCTTACAATGTCACAATAATAGTACAGTGTTCATACAGAGTATGAGGAGCTTGATCTTGCAAAGTGATCCTTGGTGGTTTACACACTGTATGCCCTGAAGCATCTCACTCACTCTTTTTATCCCTGACTCTTCCTCTCCTAGTTTTTGATGTGTACAGAGGGATTGCTAATAAGGACATAACAGACAGCATTAAATCTGAGATGTCAGGAGACCTCGAAGATGCTTTGTTAGCTGTGGGTGAGTTCCCTGCTTTTAAACTTTGTCTACAAAGCAATTAAATAATTTGAGATACTGTATCTTGCCCTGGCTGGCTGTTCACATAGCTTCAGGAGGCAGATACTGTTTGGCTTTTTTTGCAAGCCACAGTGTTTTAATCTTTGCAGATACATCGGGTGAGAAAGCTCTGTGCTTTATGATATCGTTTGCTTTCCCAAGTGATGCTTTGGTACCTGACATTTGCTGTCAGGAAGCATTAAAGCCTTAAAGAAAATATTACTGGGCACAGAGACGTCCATTTCCAGCAGGTCACTGACTGTGGATGTCTGCATTGTACTTGCTGTTTGTTGGCCCTGAATTGCATCTTTACAGAACAAGCACCTTCACTGAGAAAGTGCTCTACAGGTTTGGAAGACCATCTCCTTCAGTTCTTACTGGCCTTAATTTTCTTATTCCTGTCTTTCTTACAGTAAAATGCATGCGAAATAAACCTGCATATTTTGCCGAAAGATTGTATAAATCCATGAAGGTAAAGAGCTTTTGATGTGTGATTGCTATTTTTTTTCCCCTTTGCCTTTCCAGTCAGTAGGATGACAGCAATCATTAGATAAACTCTGCCATTAAATGGAGGGGGGGGAAAAATGTCTGAGCTTTTATAAGGACCTCTTTTCCCTCAGGCATCTCAGAGCAATTGGCTTGCTTGGCAGTGAGCTGCTAGTGGACCGCTCCACTAATGCAAAAATGATCCAGTTAGGAACCAATCCCGTGGAAGTGATAAAACCTTTGTGTCTATCACTGACTTATCCAAAATGCTTTGTTATATGTAGATGGTTGTTTTATTTCTTTAGGGCTTGGGAACAGATGACAACACGCTGATCCGAGTGATGGTGTCCCGCTCTGAAATTGATATGCTGGATATCAGAAGGGAGTTCCTGACGATGTATGGGAAATCACTCTACTCCTTCATTAAGGTAAACTTTTGGGTGTTGGAAACAAAGAGCTGGATTTGATAAGCAGCTTAAAGGAGGCAGGTCCCCACTTGACACCTGTTGGGTATTTCAGAGGAGCTGGGATTAAGGAGAATTTACATTTGTGTACTGAAAATGTTCCTGAATGTTCTTAGTTCTTAAATTGTCAAAGAGGATACAAACCCTACAACCAATTGTACATGCTGAAAAGAATCCAGCCTTGTATGGAGCTGTAAAACTAACTGTGTTCCCTTTTTCTTTCTAGGGAGACTGCTCAGGAGACTATAGGAAAGTTCTGCTCAGACTCTGTGGTGGAGAGGATTAAAGGCTGCCTGGTGTACTGCCTGGGTGATAGGAAGCAGATGATCATAAGGATTTCTTTCTTTTTAATTTTTCCCAAATATCTTCTTAATTGCTAAGAGCATTGACTTAGGTTAGTTACTGCTCTGGCTAGCTAATGGCCATTCCGGTTGCCCCTTTAGACACACTTTTATGCTTGGAACACCCGTTTGTCTACTAACTGTTTGCTTCAGTTTTTGCAAGATAATTAAAACATTAAGACATCAATCATCTAAAAGACAAGCACATTTAGATCTTAACTTGCCTTCTGTTAGTGTGGAGCATTAACAGCCTTGCTGCACTTAATGTGTTGCCTGTAGATCTGTATGTAGGGAAGATGTCACTGGTGACATCAGAAAAAACTCCTGCTGCTCTGGTTCCAGGTCAGCCCTGTATTCTTGGTCTGTCTTCCCTCACTTGTGGGAGTATAAATCATCAGGGTTCTATTACAAACCCTTCCTCTGGATAAAGCCATGTCATTAGAACAGTGCTTTTTAAGGAATATCCTGTCCCCAAAAATGCATCTTATCTGCACTACCTGCTGCCTTAGGCTGGGATGCCTTGTCCTGGGGTAGCCCACCAAACCCGGCCAGTGCTGGCCAGCTGGAGCCCTGTGGAACACGAACATTTCGTGCTTCTGCCTGCCTTGGACTTCCACACCAACCTCTGGAAGACACTTTTCCCCCAGACTCTACACAACTGCCTGCTCAGCTGAGCATTGTTTTATTACAAAAATGCTGTTCTTGTTTGGCTTAGCAATTTTAATCTTTTTTTAGCTGCTGGTATATAACCCTGTTATAAAGGCATCAGACTGAGGTTAGAATTTGAAGGCACAAATACCGATATGGCCTACATACAGTTCTGTCCCTCATTTTCTTCTAAATTGGGCCACTGTTGGCTTGAATAGGAGATACTTCTGTGGCCTTAAATAAAAGAATTTACTTTCTTGCTCCCTGTGCTGTAACTGGAGCTACATTCCTTAGTTTTAGTGGGAGAAGAAGCAGAGCTTTTTCCAGTTCTGCTTGAAGCCTTCTGCTCAGTGAAAGAAAAATTGTCTTACTAGTACAACAGGCTCATAGAGGCACTCGGGCTTGGTTTTGTGTTTAAATGCCTCGTGTTATGTTGCTGACTTTTTAGAAATGAATAAACAGTTCTGCCATGATTTTGTGTGCTGGGAGAGGCAATGGTGCAATAACTGCGTCCTTGTTTTTTCAACAACTTCTGTGCTCCACGGGTGTTTTTTCTCACCTGCTGAGCAGGGAGAGGCTGCAGGGAGATGTCTTTCAGCTCTTTAGCCCTGGAATGGGGTGCCTAGGGCCCTGTCCAGTCGGGTGGAATATCACTATGGGGGGAGATGTCTCCTGCTCCTTAGAAGGGGACAAATCCAGTGCCCCCATCTCTGTGGGCCCAGCGCATGGCAACACTGTAAATTCCCCTCCAGCTGCACTGTGGGAAATGGTTTATAAAATCCCATGTCCATGCTGTGTCTGGGGAAAATCACAAGTTGGGGGGGGGGGGGGGGGTTGGGGGGGGGGGGGGGGGGAGGGGGGGGGGGGCCAGCAGCCAAACCACAGAAAATGGGGGAGAGAATCAGAAGGGTAACAGTGAGAAAACTCATGGGTTGTGATAAAAACAATTTAGTAATTGAAATAACATAAAAATTAAAATAATAATGCCAATAATAATGGAATATACAAATGAGTGATGCACAGTGCACTTGCTCACCATCTGCTGACCAATGCCCAGCTCAGTCCCAGACAGTGATCCTGGAGCAGAGACAATCCTGAAACCCTGACCCTGTAAGAGAGAGACAGTCCCCTGAGAGAGCTCCTTTCTGGCCAGCCCTCGTTTATATACTGACCATGATACTATGTGATATGGAATATCCCACAGGCATATCCAAATGCCAGTTTGGGTATGCTCCCCCACTTTCTTCTGCACCTGCAGACCTGAAACATCAGAAGTTGCAAAGCCCTTGATTTTCTCAGCAACAACTAAAAACATCAGTGGATTATCAACATTCTTCTCATAACAAATCCCGTCCTGAATCCAAAACGCAGCACTGTTCCAGCTTCTGAGAAGAAAATGAGCTCTGTCCCACTGAAACCAGGACAGCCCCTCAGCTACTGCAGTTGCATCGCTGGTGCTGCTCCCACTTGCAGCTCAATAACCCAGACAGTTCCTCTCGCTCATCCCCTGCCACGCCAGAACTGTGATGATGCAGGGGCAATGCACTGGGATGTGTTATCATTTTTTCCTGCAGCACTGGAGGAAGCCCAGGGACCCTGGAGTAGTCAACATGGATTCACCAAGGGGAAAACATGCTTGATCAATCTGATGCCCTTCTACGATGGCATGGCTGGGTGGATGAGGGGAGAGCCGTGGATGTTGTCTCTCTCAACTTCAGTGAGGCTTTTGACACTGTGTCCCATAACATCCTCATAGGTGAGCTTAGGAAGTGTGGGTCGGATGAGTGGACAGTGAGGTGGACTGAGAACTGGCTGAACAGCTCAGAGGGTTGTGACCAGCACTGCAGAGTCTAGTTGGAAGCCTGTAGCCAGCAGTCAGGGGTCAGTGCTGGGTCCAGCCTTGTTCAATATATTAATCAGTGACCTGGATGAAAGGACAGAGTCTACCCTCAGCCAGTTTGCTGAAGATACAAAACTGGAAGGAGTGGCTGATACCCCAGAAGGCTGCACAGCCATTCAGTGAGACCTGGACAGGCTAGAGAGCACCATCACCCCAAAGACGCTGTTGCTGAGGTCTCTGTGAGCAATTCCCAAAGAAGGGATCAAGCTACCAGCTCCCAAGCTGTCACCATCTTGGAGCACACACTAGGGGACTTTGGACAATCTTCCCAACACAACTGGACTCATGCAATGAAAACAGGTTGACACCCCAGGACATACCAACCCTCATTTTCCTTCCACTGATGGCAGAAATTGCTGTGCAGTGGGAGGGTGGACAGTAGTCCTTTTTGTCTCCTTC